ATATATATATATATATATATATATATATATATATATAAAAGAAAGTCGTGTTAGTTACACTATTTATAACTCAAGAACGGCTTTACCGATATGCCTGAAAATTGGCGAGGAGGTAGCTTAGAGCAGGGAGACGGATGTAGGATACTATTCGTTCATTTTTTTCGAATTTGTACCTTGAAGATCTGCTTTTTATTTAACTTACTAATATTATAAATGCGAATGTTTAGATGGATGTGATGTGGATGGATGGATGGGTGTTTGAAGATATCTCTAGAACGGCTGAACGGATCTCGATTAAATTTGGTATAAGTATAGCACATAGTCTGAAAGAACACATAGGCTACACTAATTATGTTTTTTTTATATATCCACGCGGACGGAGTCGCGGGCGACAGCTAGTATAATATAGATTCAAGGCAAATATTTGTGAATGTTTTACTCAAATATCCAAATGTTTTCGCTCTAAAAGGCTGTCGAAAGATGAAATTTAATTTATAAAGGATGTTCGGTGAATGAAAATGATTTATTGTTCCTCGGGTGTTTACCGTTATGTGAAAGGCTTCCGTGAATTTGTTTGGATAAAATGTTTTGTAAGGAAGCATTAAATGTTACCTGGAATGTAAATAAATAAAATTCATGCATGAAAATAGGCCACGTATCTCTCAGTCAAATATTAGATTATTAAAGCCGACTATTGCAAAGTGTAGCTACCATTATCTTTAAGGAAAGTGTATGCTCTTTTAAAAACATAAGTCTTAGTGACTGAAAAAAGGAAAGTATTTTCCTTATGGAAATACTTCTAGTGAAAATCATACCATTATAAAGGTGGGGAAAATATGCGGGAAAACTATTCAGTAATCGAATTCAGCAGTTATTTTCAAAACTATATTGATGTTATTATGTTCTGAGTATATCTTAAAAGATTACTACTATGTATAATCTTTTATTACATACAGTCAAGGAATTAAATTCGAATCCCACTTTGGTTCAAATATCATATAGAAATATGTCACCATAAGAATATTATAAGAAATATTATATATGTACATTGCTATGATAAACATTACACAGATTCTTATGTTTATTTACATGTAAATAGTTTATTTAATATGGGTGCTTCCCGTTGGCCCACCGAATCCAACGGTCCAATAGAAAAAAATGCCGTTGGGACGATCCGCACACCGATTGAAACGCCCTGTAATATGTAGCAGTGTTCGGTGTTTAGTAATAACGCAGAAATGAGTCGGCGTCAGTTGTACGTTACTGTTCCTTACCAATTAGCTAATAATTGGGTCTGCTAGCTGTATTACTCTAACATCGTCAGTGATGTAATTACAGTATGGTCATATGTTAGAATTATGGTTCGGATTAAATTACTAATTACAGATATTAGATTGTTATTAATCTAATTTTATTTAGCGTATCGAAATATAAATATAAGGGTTAACACAGACTCGTTAACTCGTCGCCCACTCTTTACAGTCCCGACTTGCGGTCGCCGCGGCACGGCATCCACTCGTCGCCAACGCGACATCAACGGTATAAAGATTTAAATATGTAGAGACGAGGAGTGGACTAATGCGTGATAACCTCTAATTGACACTAACCTAAAAGGGATGGATTTGTTATTTATATCTTTGTAACAAATGAACACAAAAATAACTGCTATGATTTTTAAAAAAAAACATTACTATTAGAATGCTACATCATTCTTGGGTAACACAATCTACCTATATTTAATAAGGTTATAAAACATTTAAAAAATATATACATTCATGCAAGTTATTAATAATTAATAATATAATAGGTAATGTCTAATTTCTTATTAAAAAAAATTAAAACTATCCACTCCCACAACTACACAGATACAGCCATTTTCTCGGAAGTGTTTACGAATATGTATACGATTTTAGCTGAGTTTGGCTCACATAGTTGTCGGTAAGCACTGCGCAGTGCCTGTTCTGTGTCACATTTTAATTGTGCTTTAATAACTGGAGAGCGCTAAGACTCAGTTCTTCTAGAAATAAAGCCTACGGTTACGTAGACAATAGTCTCGGAAAGACGCAAACGTCTGGATTTAGGTCAAGTCATTCTACCGAAAAATGTTAATTGTTGCAATTTTCAAATACTCGTTCGCGAATAATGTAGCATGCGATTATTAGGAAAGGGAGATAAAAAAGGGGATGAAGCTTTTGTTTATTTCTCATTAAGACAAAATGTATTGGACTTCTTTAACCATCAGAAAACTATTCTAATTCAGTAAATAGCTAATATTAAGTCTGTGGATGGATGGTACCACTGCCTAGAAATTAAAAAGCGTTGGAAAAAAGCAATTAAATAGTTTATTACGATTGGCGCGGATTCGTGTCGTGTTAATTAGATCGTAATTATTCTGCAGCAAAAATCCAATTGGCTTTCGAGCGCTGTTCCCGCTGGATTCGTTCGTGCTGGAAGTGGGCCGCGTGCGATGAATACCGATTACCATCGATGTACGACTCGCTAGATGTGTCTAGCTCGCTGAGATTGCAAGGGATGCGGAGCGAGGGAAGGGCGTGAGGTGATTTAAAAATGTACGATGCATGTACGTTTCATTTACGTGAAACGAAATCGGAAAAACTTGGAAGAGAGAATAGTAAGCTGTAGTGTGGTTGACTTCAATGTTTTTTTTTCTGCTTTCCATCTACATTGTTCAGAACTACTCAACCGTGCGTACAACTTATTAGGTCGCAAATGTAGATTATAAAATATTTTATATAGTGTTTTAGATTTATACTGTAAATAAAACTTTTATTTTTGTTATACATTACTTTAATGTGATTTTCTTTTTTATATAAAGAAAATATTAAAAGTATTTATTTCAGTCACATTAAATAGTACATAACTATTTTATTATATAAAGCTTATAGAACTGTTTCTCTCAGAACATTGTAAGTGAACATTTCCCGCTGTATTTTCCTTGTAATATTTACCTTTCATTATGAAAGAAACCTCACATCTGAAACTACAAACCACTTCCAAAATAATTGAGTCTCACAAAATAAATATGACTATAATAAGCCAATGTCTTTTCAGTATTAGACAATTCTCTGTGTTTAATACTTGTGTGATTTGCGTCTTTTATAATGTTGTGTAGTGTTTTGTTTTTTACACAGCCAGAAGTAGAACTGTGGAAATCATGTATTGACTGTATCTATAGTGGAAACCCACACTAAGAGAACAATTTAGCGTCATTTATTTACACGCCCTTGTTGGTAGCGTAGCGTCACACACGAGTGAATGGAGGATGCTCCTCGGGCGGTTTGTAAGCGAGGAAACCTTTTTTCGAGATTGGAGTGAGGGCGTTGGAGTACTTTCTTTTTATACTTTGTTTTGTTTTAAATGAAATGGCTAATCGATTTTAATGTTGGAGAGGAAAAAAGCTGATTAAGTGAAAAAGACGCTTATAAAAATGAATGTTGATTTTATATAATTACTAGCAGTCGCCCGCGACACCGTCAGCGCAGAATTAGAAAAATCTGATAAGTAGCCTATGTGTTATTCCAGACTATGTTCTATATGTGTGCCAAATTTCATCAAAATTCTTTGAGCCGTTGAGATATACCTTCAAACAAACATCCATCGTTCCAAACATTCGCATTTATAATATTAGTAAGATGAGATAGTTTATCACAGTTTTATTTCATAATTTAATTAACGAAATATCATTTGTAAAGCTAAGATTTGTTAAGCTAATCTTAGAAAACTTTAGCAAAATAACATCGTAAATGAAATTCTTTGAAAAATTATATTCCATCTTCATTTTACTTCATTCATCAAGTCTATTTGATTCTGATTACGTTTTCATTTTTAATTAACGTCAAGTTACCAGGGAAAATATTAATGTTATTTTTCCACTTTGTCATTTTTCCACAAAGTTCTTATTACTAAAGGATTGACACTTGGTTAATTAGTTAATTAGCTGGTGATATAGTGAGGTGTATATACAGTTATTAAACATCGATATAATTTAATGTTAGAGATTAATAATTAGTGCTTTCACTTGTTAGTCCGAATTTTACTTTAAATGAATATTAGTAATTTTATTTTCAATTTTGTTGTTTTCACAATTTGATGTTACCCTATCTGTCGATTTTAAGTGGGTGAGAAAAAGAACGGAAATGGAATAAAAGTGCTATCGATAGCGGAAATTGTTGTTAGGTGACTGAATTGGGGGAGAGCTTTTACGATATAGGAAACTTATTAATTCCATTCATGCTACATTTCAACTGACTCCTATTTAATTGAAATGTAACATTTGTACCCAAAAATGTTATAGAGAAAACTGTAAATATATCTTGTAACCCCTGACAAAACTTAATAGCACTTTTCTTATTGTACCAATTGATAACCTTTTAGTACGTAACTGATAAATGCAGCCACGTTTGTCGATGATGTTAAGAATCGCTTAGATACTGAGTGGCTTCTCAGCGCGGCTCGGGGAGACAGCGTTTCCCTTTGATCCGACCTCGTGAGGTAACTTAACGACTATAAGATGATACTCATTACTGATGTCTCTTACCTAACAGAATACGATGTTCCTTTTATAACTTTAGTTAGTTTAGACCACGAATCGTTACTTAAGAATGTCCGTAGACCTTTTGTTTATTACTAACGTTAATTTTTGAAATTAAATACGCAATAAAACCCTATTAAGTAAAATAAAAAAAGTATAATTCCATTATGTCGATAAAACTTAGCAGAAATATAGAAGAAATTGCAAGGCTTCCTTAATAAAGTTCGTTGGCTTTAAAAGAGTGAATAAAAAGCTTTCCTCTCAAAACTTGTCGCGATGGCCAGCAAAAAGCCAATTTTGATTTAGCCTCAAACGACGATTCAACGAAAATTGGCAAAGTTGCGGCAACTTCTAATAAAGTGAAAAAATAAAAGTACGCCCGTTGTACGGAGAGTTTTATTCAAATTCCTTGTAAACTCCGGTACTTAAAAGTTTCCTTTGTTCGCAGGGCGGAGGTCGCAGACTACAATGCATTGTAACGAAGTACAGCTAAAGAAATGAGTTACTAGCAAATACATTACCTGCCTATCTTTATATAATACGCATCAGAATGACTAATGTGAAATTAAAACTAATGTTTTTTATATTAAATGCAGTACTATCCCCGAATATCATACATGGTAGGCCGTACTCAGAAAGAAATGTAACAGAGACGTCGATACCTTCAGTTGATAATCGATCTTTTACTTTACCAGTAGATCCTAATCTTGATACATTGGTAGTCGCTAGTGACGAGGATATCCCTGAAGATACGAGAAGTTTTAAAACTCAACTAGACGATATCATGGAAGCTGAACAAGACAGAGACGAAGCTTTATCAGAGAAAGTCATGAAGGATCAAATTAGCATTTTAGAAATGCACAAAGACGACGCTGAGGGTATTGAGAAACAGTTAAACATATCAAGTTCGCTTTTAGATAAGATTATTGACTCGGAAACTGATAGAGAAGAGACTCTCACAGATATTCTGTTTAGACCAGATTCAGATTTTGTTGAAGATGTGCCAAAATTTGAATTCTTAATATCGAGAAAATTGAATGAAAGTGATGCTACAAATTTGACTTTAAGCAAAGATTCTGGTTTCAGTGATAATAAAGTGGAGAAAGGGGACAAAAATAATAGTGATGTGATGAAGAAAGCGGAATACGTTGAATTAGTGGAAGTGTTTAAGCCAACAAATGAGAATAAAAGTGCTTATAATTTAGCTAACATGACAGGTCATGAGGTAGACAACGATTTAGCGCCGGACACAAGTGAGTATAAATTCTTTCTTGATAAAACTTTTCTTTACATACAAGAGTACAGCCGGTATCTATAATCCTCAAAGTGTAAGTATTGTGTTAAAAATAAAAAAAATAAATTATATTTTAATTCTTTACTCGTTTTGATATAAATTAAAGTTTAATGTTGTCAATGCCAGACCCTTATCAAATAAAGTCAGTGACTTTAGGAAAGTGTAACGTTCAACGAATTGGACAATTAATTCAACCAAAACCTTATTTGATAATACTTTGATTTGACACTTAATACATTGTTGTGGAGCGTCGGTGGCTCAGGGATTAAGCACTTGACTTGCAATTTGCAGGTCCTGGGTTCGAATCCCGCCATGTACCAATGTGTTTTTCGATTTCCGACATGTACATTTATCCGACGTTCTTACTGTGAAGGAAAACATCGTGAAGCGACCTGCACATATCTGAGAAGATATTCAATGTATGATATGTGTGAAGTCAACCAACCCACACTTGGCCAGCGTGGTTGACTATGGCCTAGTCACCCATAACTTAGGGTAGGCTCCGAGCCCCTCAGTTGGGACGTACAGTGAGCTGATGATGATGATGACATTGCTGTGCTATGACAAAATATAACTTTGTCTAATCGAGTGTCCTTTGAAAGACTAAAGACTTACTTTATTATAAAATCATATTTTTTTCTTAATTCTTAGCAGTATTATTTACCTTTGTTACACATCTACGAAACGAATTTGCAAAGTGATATTTAATCTCGCTTGATTATATGACAACTACATAGTAAAACAATTTTAACTACGTTTTGTTAGTGTAATTTAATAGCTTATTTAGTACTTAATATTGTCAACATCACAGAGTTGAAATTGAGCAAGTTCAGGCATCGCTGTTTACGTAACGAATTGTGTCATTTAAAAAAAGGTTGCCCGGAGCAAGGGAACCTTTTATTGGATTCATTGGGCGTAATGTTAAAGGCTCGTGTAATTTATTTGCAGCAATTTTGAACTTGATTACATTTTAACACAATAGATAAATCCTATATGGTAGATTCTAATTCCTTGTAGTAGCTTTATGCTTTTAAGTGTCTATGACTTAAAGAATGCTTTGCAATTTCTTTTAAAATCAAAAATAGGCAAGTCTAATCTATTTGCGTTAAGTTTATAAAATGTAGTTGGCACTAAAAGTCAACGTACAAGATGCTCGTTTGCCAAATCGGATTTGATGAACAAGTTTGTGTTCTGATTTAATTCGTTTGTTAATTACCAATAAAAAGAAACGAACGTATTCTTGATTTAGTATTTTATTCTATAATCAATGTGTGATTTTAAAAAGTGCGTTATATTGTAAAGGTCAAGGTTTAAGAAAAGGTCACCAGGATAACTGTAGATATTTCGTAATCAATACCGCGCATTTCAAGATCGGAAAGGTCGGAAAAATTACTGATGAAATTTGCTCATTCGGCCAACATTACCAAATTAATTCTGCGTGAAGTTGTTCTTTGTTGAAGCGATTGCCTTTGCTCTTCTCCGAGGGTTGTTTTCTTTCTTATTGTTGGTAAAACCCATGAAAAATTCACCATGATTTAGTTATTTTTATTAATTGATTATAAACTTGCTTCTTTTTATTTAGATAAAGTAAATTCTTAGTAATAGCTAATAATATGTAATATTACGGGAAGTAGGAGATGATGATACGAAACGACTTGAGAAAAATTGAAAACATTTATCACGGAAGAAGCCTCCGCCTACGTACTATTATTACCATGTATTCAAGAAATTTATTACGCATTTTTTTTCCATTAAATATATGTAAAATGTATTTACATTTCTAAAAGCATCATTTCCACAAGTTCAAAAGCAAAGCGACCACATTTTGATGCTCATTATTAATACATAAGCCTAGCATTGAGTTTGAACTTAATTACTTATTCATTTTACTTAAAGCTATTGTGTTATGTTGTGTTTATGTTTTCAACTTAGTTAAATATAACATTTTTCTATAATTTAATGGATATATTCGTTAAGTGACTTCTGAAATAAAGTCTATTTTAAGCTTTTCATACTGCCTTACTCAGAGTCGTTTAGTGTCCACAGAAGCAATCGCTTAGTGTAATTAAGCTTGGATATGGTAGTAAAAGTTTTTTAAATAATTGTTTTTCATTTCCAACTTTTATTGTAATATAATTGTATGAAAAATATTCTAAAATGACTCCTTTATTTATTTTAATAAAATTAATTTAGTTTAACTAAATATATTTTTCATTTTTTCACTTTATTACATTTATTATGATGGAAGTCGGTTTTTGAAATATTTCTTAATATGTTTCGTTCACTTTTCCAAATTAAATTTGTTATTTTTTTCAAACGTTAAAACAATATATTTCAATGAACACTATGTATATGTTTTTATTCTATATTTTTTGTTGTCTGCTCTTTTATGAAATTCAATTGAAACAGAACTCTTCAGTTGATATAAAAATATTTATATTTCTATTCTGTTATTTGTAGACTCTCAATTGTTGTTTAGATAAAATATTTATATGTGTTCTAATAGAAATTAATAGAGGGAGAGTTTATTTATAGTTTGTACGTTTTTAACACATAATTTATAAGATCTTTGTATATATATAAAGACTATACAATTGTTTGTATTTAAGAAAAAAATCTTTCAACTGTCTTGTTCCACATTAAAGTTTTCGTAGTAAGTTGATACATCAAAAAGAAGGGACATGGAAGTGATATGATGATGTTTTGTGTTGATCGTATTTATAGTACAGATTCCACACTAATTTGTACAGTGGAGGACGTTTATTTCCTTCCCACCATTTTGGTAAGATGTTATTTGACACTGACATAATCACGACAGATTACGCTCCAAAATATAACTTTTATAAAGACAATTTGCTGTAATAAATTCGATCCTAAGTGGGAAGTGAATTTATTTCCTTGACTTTAACTACAAGGATAGAATGTCATGTTATCGAAATTGTAGCAGTTGATTTACTAACAGAAAGAGTATTACTTATTCTTAGTATGTTTGTTCACACGGTGGAATAGAGTGTGTTTAGTATTTATATATATTTAATTATTTAAAAAAATGTTTACACTCTCCTACAACGATAGTTAGGTGGAGCATTGGAGCTAGTCATAGTATGAACTGTGTGACAAACACCGGCGCTTTTCTTTTACAACATGGTTTTTACAGATTAATGTGTTGTTCGTAGTGCGTTATTTCATAGTATATCCGTGGTGTTGGCATTTGACCTGTCGTAGTCCTCTCTGTGTTCTCAGGTTTTACGGACATGCAGACGCTGCTGTTGGCTTGCTTCGGAACTCTGTTGCCTCTGTTGGCAGTACTCTTTGCTACACTAGCTGTCAGGTGAGTAACACTAAGAAACATCTGCATTCAATGGTAAAAAGGTACAATGTACTGTGTGCTGGTGGTCTCATCGTTGCCATATGTTTGCTGATGATGTTTACTCCCGTTAGTAGCTCTGACAAACATAGACTGGTTCCAGGGTAGAAAGTAGTGTATGTGGCTGCGTTTTTATAACATAGAATAGCAACAAAAGAACAATGAGTTTCAGAGACCAAATTCCTGTTTAAAACATATCGCTATCTCTGTTTTGTCAAAGATAATGACAGGGATAACGATATGTTTATATAGAGAATTAGATCTCAGAAACCAAACGGTGAGCAGTTCAGTATAAATTATAATACATTTAACGGATAAAAATGATAGTTAACGAGAAGGTTAAAAAGTAATTACGTTATATGCATATCATCATTTATATATGATACTAGCGGACCCGACAGACGTTGTCCTGTCTACACGTCTTTAATTTGAAAATTTGACTCTGCGATGGTAGCGCCGTCTGTCGGATCCAATGTAAAACATTCCAAAATCAAAAACTACTAATAAATTAAAAATTAATTAAAAAAACATTGTCCAGCGGACAAAATTGTGAATCTAAACCATTCCCAGATCCCCTTGAACACACACAAAAAAATTCATCAAAATCGGTCCAGTCGTTTGAGAGAAGTTCAGTGACATACACACTCACAGAAGAATTATATATATAAAGATGTAACTAATAAATACATGCTAAAATATTTGTGAATAAACTAAGAGTAGTAATAAGCTTAGAATAATACTAGCGAGGATTAAAATTCTTACCAAACACTTCAAATTTACCAACACCAAGAAAAATCATGTTCAATTTTACAGTTAAAACAACTTGGCGCCGCTTCGCCGCTACGCTTCCGAAGAGTTAGTGTAAACGATCTTCGTTTAATTAAACTGAGAAGTTAAAACAACTGATTGAATTGAAACTGCCAGTTTCAATGTTCAAATTCAATCCTTTTTCAGTTTCTCTTGCATTAAAGCTAAGGATGTGTTTTCGATACTAATTAGTTGAGGTATTTGGATACTGTTTTGATAAAATTATAAATAGGAAGGAGAAAAAAGTTACAATGCCAGCACTTCCTTAATCGTTGGTTTCTAAGACCAAAAATCCCTATATAAAAAATATCGTCATCTCTGTCATAATCTTTGACAAAACAGATATAATAATGTTTTAAACTGGGTTTGATGTCTCAGAAACCCACAGTTAGTAATACAATACGTAATTTTTCATATAATCAGAGTTTTTTGAAACAAGCAGTGTTTTAAATTGTACGTTAGATACAAATAGAATATCGGTCGAATAAAATGATACGTAACGCAGACGCCATCTAGCGGCGTTCAGTGAAATCAAATCTGAACCGGTATCAATGATTCTATTTCAAACTATTGAAAGGGAACAAAGTCAATTCCGATTGCTTATATCACATTTATGAAACAACGCTTTGTTAAACATTTTTTTTTACTCGTATTAGTAACTATTATACATGAATATTATTATTTTGTTAGATTGTAGTTAAATTAAACTATATCTAGTTATTTTTTGTACGTACTAAGAATTCAAGACTATTTTCTCTAAATGCCAGTTTTTTTTATTTATTCTTTATGATAGCAGAAATTAATCTCTTCTGAATGCTCCTATGTTATATATATTATTACTAGCTGTCGCCCGCGTTTCCGTCCGGGAGGAATTAAAAATAAAACTTAATTAGTACCCTAAATGTTCTTCCAGACTGTGTTCTACATCTATGCCAAATTTCTGCAAGATCCATGCAACTGTTCTGGAGATACTTTCAAACAAACATCCATCCATTTAAACATTCGCATTTATAATATTAGTAAGATTAAAATTTATATTCTGTAAATGTAAAACAGTATTTTGAAAAGGTCAGATGTGATATATAGGTACTCAGGTTAGTCGGAAATGTTATTTACGGCCTAAAAATCTAGCATTCACGGTCCACGTGTGATGTAGGTTAGCGTCATAACGCTGGATAAAAGCTTTCCATATTTATCTCTCTATTTTTAGTGTCATATAAAAATATTCTTCTAGATATTACATGACTGAAAGAGAACTAAGAGATAATAAATATTATATATTTGTCTCTAGACATACTTAATACTTTGGTTTGAGTTTGTAGTAAATTGATCTATTTATCTACTAGCTGTCGGACGCGACTCCGTCTGCGCGGATTAAAAAAAAAGTTAATAAGTGGTCTACGTGTTCGTCCAGACTATGTTCTATATCTATGCCAAATATCAGCGTGATCCATGCTGCCGTTCCGGAGATACCATCAAACATCCATCCATGTAAACCTTCTCATTTATAATATTCGTAAGATTAGCTATATGTCGACGAAGGCGTGGTTGGGCGTTCACGTAATCAGTTTCGGACGTCTATGTCGTGTTGAAATACGAGATGCATTTGTCGACTGTCGCATTCCCATGAACAATTCCGTTCGATCGAATGCCAATAGTGGTATGCTGCATGCCAATGAATTGTTGAACGTATCTTTGTTTTGTATTATGTTACGTTAAAGTATAATTGCTATTTTATTTCATAAGGCAATTACTTGTGTCGTAATTTTACTGATTTTGATATAACGATAAAAGTTAGGAATGTTGTAATATAAATGAGTCAATACATTGCAAAATATTGTCGGGAAAGATTTTATATTATTCACTACTGTTTGTGTTTGATCATTTAAAACCGATTTTACTTTTCTTTCACATTACTCTGAATCGTTTGGCTATTGGAATACTATGTTTAACTTAAGCTTAAAAGTTCATCTAACATTTCCTAGTCGAATATAAAGTGAAGGGACATTATTGATCGCTTTTGCAAACATTCCGAGAGCTCAGTCAAACTAGATTTATGCCAATTGCAGAGAAATTCGTAGCAAACAAACTTTGTTTCAGAAAGTAGGTTAACCTGAAATGTATGGAACGTATAATTTTTAACTAACTGGCTATAAATTTACTTTTAAATTTATTTTATTTTCAATTAGCTACTAGTTTTTTTTATTATATAATAATTATTAATTTAAATTAAAATTATCACAACTTATTTTTTATGGTAAATAATTTTCATACTATGCGAATTTATAGTGACGAAGAGTTTGGAAGAATTAGAAGGGACCAATTTATACCAAAGCTTTATAACGACCGTACCACTTGTTTCTTCTCCATATTTTTAAACAAATATGTTTTATATTAATTTGCTTGGTATACAGAGGTTCATAAAGGTACTTCAAATGAACGTTTACAGTACTCGACCTAATTCCGGTTAAACCGGATGAAGTCGACTGAAAAATATCAGGTTCATATACAACCGGATGAAAATTAAGACCGCTTACAATGATTTAATGGATACACGCCAAAAGGATTGAGATTCATTTCTATATGTATTTCTGTAGGTGCTTTTTACGCCTACATAAACAAATATTCTTCTCGTTGTTAAAGTCGATAAATTATTTTTCAAACGTGCGGTTTTTTATTTATTTCAGTTCGTAAGGTGCAGTAGTATTATTTGCTTTGCTTTCCTGCAGCTAATAAAAGATAATACACTACAGTGGTAAAATATCCTTTTATCAATGTATTTTTTTAGGTGTTTGTGCCGGCGCTGGTGTCCCGGCTGGTGCAAGAAGCCCTCTGCGTCGACCGTCTCCGAGAGCAGCGAAAAGCACGATACTAGCCAGCAGGTGAGATATATGCTTTCCTATTTATTCTTAAATATACACAGTTACTTCTTTACAAAGAGTTCAAACTCTTAAACACATAATTTTTTCGTAGTTAAAACGCCTACAGCTATTGAGTTCAGTAAATTTACAAAAATTATATTTGCTAAAATATTTTTGCAGGCGTTTAAAAAATTCTATTTGCATATTCATGTTTTACAACAGGCACGGTCACGTTTCATTAGAGCATAGTGTTTTCGCAGTAAACATAATCGTGATTATTAATATATTAAATTATCCGTTGATATCACATGTTTTATTAACGCTTTTTAGTAGATATGCACATTAATGTGTATAGCAGAGATTTTGTAATAATAACTTATCACTTTATATATCTTAATCAGGGTTTATATCATTTATTTTATTTACTATTTGTAGTATTTCGGTAAGCGACAAGTTTGTAATATAAAATAAGTACTTTTATCTTATTGCGAGAAACACTAAAAGGCTGACATCGCATTTGCAGTTTCTCTGGTGTTTCGTATCTCTATGGGCGTCGATGATCACCTTCATGTAGTCCAGTCCGTTAAAAACTAGTTCTAGCTAATAAAAGTGCTTTTATATATTAAAACCACAAGTTTGTCAGAATATAAGGTACACAAGGCGTCATTTTGTAGGCATGTCAGAGGCCACCGTAATGGCATCAACAACACATCCATCACTTAAATTCATAATTGAGCAAGACGTTTCACCATCGCTCAAATTGCGCGAGCGAGCAATCTTTTTTAATCTACGCATAAGCAAAATGGAGGCGAACCTACAAAAAAGTGGCCAAAAAATTCTCATTGCATACTTTGCGATGGCGGGTCGAACTGCATTTTTGGCTGCAAGTTCTAGAGAGCATCTGCAGCTGTCTCTTACTGGCGTGTGTGAGGGAGTAGGATGGATGCAGTGTGCTTGACCTATGCGCTTGGGCCGCTTCGAATTATTTCGGCGGTTTGGTTTTGCTGTATGGTAGTGCTTGGATACCACATTAAACTATTTTTATTTATTTATTTATTTCATTCAAAACTTACAATTATATTCATGTAAAGGTTATATCAATGAAAACTGGGTAATAGATGAGGAAATAATACCAAGAAAAGTTCACATATACATTTTATTTAAAGTTAAAACATCCATATATCTACCTGTTTTCTTTTTAATAATTAATTTAACAAATCTTCATAAGCAAATGCTTGTACATTCGTTATTAGATATCAGCTATAAAATCACTAGTCGTTAGTTTCTAAAATATCATTTTTTATTAAAGATACATAGTAACATTACTATCCATAATAAATTGTTTCGTAAAATTAATTTAAATGCATCTTTATTAAAAAAAAAATATAACCAACCTCTCACATTTTAGTCACTGCACACCCAAAATCTATATGTACAATCTGCCTATCCTCTAGTACTTACAAAATAATGATTGCCTTTAGCGCTTACACACACACACGTACATACACACACACACAAACATCGCACTACTACATTGATGTTACGTATTTGTGCGTTGTAATATCAATACGCTAAATTATGATGCATTGTTTTAAAAAAATTACATGAAACAAATAAAAAAACTTTAAATACCAATGTGCTACAAGGGTGTAAAGTTAAAATTAAAACTGCAAATATAAAATGTCATGAAACGTCTCGTGATTTAAATATGTAAATGAAATAGGAATTAAAAATTTCATAATTTTAATAATATTAAATATTCCCAGTAATTAGGTTGCGAATTCTAATATAAACGTCTTTCATTCGAAGTAAAAGGGCCAATGTAGTAAAGCTACAGATTTACTCAAGGGATTCCCGAGTTGAAAATTCTGTAACTGGGTCGCTTTGAGCCGTCTCCGCATAATTTAATAAGACCTCGACTACGTGCTGTAAAATTCGATAAGTAAAATTGAGTGCTCATACGCCGGCTTTCACCTGAAATCAAATCCTAACTGAACTTTGTATGTCATGAATTATTTAATATCTTCATTGAAACTGAATCACTTTTACGGATATAATTTTATAGATCTTTATTGTTCAAAGCTACTTTAAATTTCGCAATTCCTTTTATAATCATGTTTAAATTGTGTTGTTTTAAATATTATTATTGAAAATGCAGCCTGAAATCTATGAAGTAAAAGTCGATAAACGGTGATGGTTTGAATTTTGAATGAAAAAATAAGAATAAGTTGTTTAAAATACAACATATAGTAATATCTATATTAATGTTTTTGTTATTATTTAAACCGCTAAATCATTTTATAATTTCAGATCAGTATATCACATAATAGAAAAGGTAATTACAGAATTACAAAAAATATCACATTAATTTGATGCACTTGTATTAGTCGTATAGGTTTGAAGCAACAAATTATTGCCAAAATTTCCCTTTGCCCTTCCGCTGTGTATGTGTGCGATGCGCAGGCGCAGCCGCGGTGTAACAGTGGGAAACTGTTAATGTGTACGTCAGTGTAAATCTGTGTGAGTGCAAGCCGGTTCAGCCCAAAGTACATTTAGAGTACCTATAGTGTTGGAAATGGCTTATAGTCTATTTATAGGTGTATGTTACGGGCTTGGACGGACTTTTTGCGGCCATTTCGTTGTAAGGATGCATGTCCGAATATTGTTGAATCTTTTTTTTAATGATTTAAGTTTCGTTTCATCGGACGTTTGTTACTTAAAATTTATCAACAGCTGTCAAATAATTATAGCTTACTTATATCGATAATAATTATTTTTTATAATAATTCCTATTTAATTAATAAGATTCAGCAGTTTCATAAACTTTAGGAAGTATGCTTTTCTGTTCAAGTAACACATTTGTTCGTTAGATTAAGATCTAGGTTCTAAGTAACCTAATGAGTATTATTATATGACAAAATCGACCAGCTCTTACTGCTAGAGCCATCTACTGATAAACAGGAGAACTTAGTTGCGCACCTAATTTATCGATAATATCTTTTACATATTGTCTTTCTGAGCAAAGCGGAGGCGGACTAGTATTGGACAACGCAGCAGAGGCGAGTTTTTCTATGGAAATTTCCATAAGATGCTCAAATGAAAACGTCTTGAAATCATTGAAATTTAAATATTTTTTTCGGTGAAACGACACGGGAACGTATATTTTGTACAATTTGTTATCAGTTTCAGTTGATTGCTTCTACTAATATAATTGTTAACTTATTAAAAGAAAATGATGCTACGATGAAAGTTCTACGTACTTTTATTGACATACCAACTGTTGTCCGCGACTCCGTCCCATCGGAATTTAAAGAAATGTTCTTCCTTATGTGTATAAAAGTGTTATGGATTATTTTCCATATCTATGCCTTCTTCTTCTTCTTCTAATGCCTCTCCATTACTGGAGGTGGGCCGTCAGTTCAGCGTACCCTTTCCTGTCCTGTGCCAAGCGAAAAAGTTGTTCAACGCTAGCAATATTGGTCCAATCTTATTTGGATGTTTCTTAGCCACGACTTTTTCCTTCTTCCAACTCGTCTTCTGCCTGCGATTTTGCCCATCATAATCATATCTATGCCAAATTTCATCAAGATCAGTTGAGCCGTTCTGGAGATACCATTTAACAAACATCCATCCATTTATCCATACATTTGCATCTGTAACATTAGAGAGATAGTTATTGAACTAGTAACAGATTAACAGATGTGAGAATTTACTTTTGTAACAAAAAACATAATTAATGAAATGATAATAAAAAACTTCAATAACACTCGCAAAGATTCCAAAACGTAATGATAATTATGTACAGTGCTACAAACTTTACTGACCCGCAGGTCTTAAGAGAAAATAATATAAAATAGCTCATAAGCGTCCCCTCTTAGTATAAAAAGTACCATAAATTCCTTGTCGAAGAATTGTCATGTATTTTGTGTCTTTTTCTATGCATAATGTTTTAGATATTTTCTCACAAAACTAATTCGGATAAAGACGCCTGTTTCACCGGGCGAAATAAGTTTGTTGTACTATACAAGCAAATTCATTATGTGTCGGCCATTTTGCGATATCGACGTCGTCGGTTTTTGATCGAGTGTTATTGTGCAACGCTCGATCCTTGCGAAGCCAAATGTGTTTTGACTTTAAAAGGTTAATTCTTATTCATTTTCAAGTCAAATCATTCAATGCATATGAAAGATACGCAAATAAAATTATTTAAATTTCTCATTATTCTATACTAGCTGTCGGCCGCGACACTGTCAGCGCGGAATAAAGAAACATTTGGTAGCCCACATGTTCTACATCTATGTCCAATTTGAGTTAGATCGATGCAGCTGTTCTGGAAATATCTATTAACAAATATCCATCTATCTATTAAACCATTCGCGTTTATAATATTGGTATTTCTATAATTCCTTTATCCTTATACCAAGAAAAAGAAATTAGGAAATATTTAATTTCAGACATTTCATTCAGACTTTAGAATAAACCAGCCTGAATAAATAAGCAACCATTTTTTTTAAATTTATCTTGAGCCTCCTAACGATCTGTAGAATATTACTTAAAAAATACGTGGTGCCAAAAATGGGACGTCAGTTATTTATGTGTTTCATTGTACCTGAATTCCATACACCACAGAGACGGCAGTCTTATGTTTCGAAACCCATTTGCTGTATTGTCTTGCGTTGTTCAGACCGCAACCCGAATGCAATACCAAAACTAATATTCAATCACTAAACAAAGAAATATGCGAAAAGTAACCTTATTTGTATCTTGTTAAGGGTTTGTTTTTTTGCTATGTGACGGTAAATCTGTTTGTTGTTTCGCAGCATCTTTGTTACTTCGCGTTTGTTCGAGAGCTAACGGTAATTCAGGTTTGGAAAGCGCCTATGTAAAAATGTTCTCGGAATCGCTATTTATTGTTATTATGTAGTATATATGTACGTTATTGTTTGTTATGCAAATGCATTGGGAGTCGTGTTGTGTGTACTTGTCATTTGTACTTTCCACAGTTTGATTTTACTGAAAATTTATTCTTAAACGTATCAAAGAAAAAACCTAAAACCTTTTTCTTCTTCGTAAGAAAACAGAATCGTAACGGTTTATGTCACGATCTAATATCTGAGCTTGTTTGTAAGCCTTTTCACACTATTATTATAAATACGAATTTTTTAATGTATAGATGCATGGATGTTAGAAGATATCTCCAGTACGGTTAAATGAATCTCGCTGAAATTTGGCATAGATGTAGAACATAG